TTTTTTTTTTTTTTTTTTGGTATCAGGGTTTGAACTTGGGTCCTTGTGCCTGTAAGGCAGGCAGTGGAACCACTGAGCTAAATAAATCCTTGGCCCCTACTCTAGTCTTATGTACATATGCCCAACAAAAGCTTACTGTTTTCTAAAACATTGTCTGACTTTTTTTAACCTTATATCATGATGTTTTAAGTAAATCATACAAGGCCTTCCTTCATTTAGTACACACGGTGTTTCTCACCTGTATGAGCCCTCTTATGTATTGAAAGAGATGCCCTTTGAGAAAACGCTTTTCCACACTCATTACATTCAAAAGGTTTCTCACCAGTATGGCTTCTCATATGTATAATAAGTAAGGAACACTGAGAAAAGGCTTTTCCACACTTACTACATTCATACGGTTTCTCCCCTGTGTGACTTCTCACATGCAGAGTAAGGGATGAGATTCGAGAGAAGGCTTTACCACATTCATTACATTTAAATGGTTTCTCTCCAGTATGAATTTTTTCATGTTCAAGGAGATTCTGTCTCTGACTGAAGGCTTTTCCACACTGATTACAATGATAGGGTTTCTCTCCAGTATGAATTTTCTCATGTTCAGTAAGATTTGATTTCTGGCTAAAGGATTTTCCACATACTGTACAGGTATAGGGTTTCTCACCAGTATGAATCCGCTGGTGTCTGATGAGGTTTGACATCTGGATAAAAGCTTTCCCACAGTCATTGCATTCATAAGGTTTTTCTCCAGTATGAATCTTCTGATGTGTAATAAGATTTTCTTTCCGGCTAAAAGCTTTTCCACATTCATTACATTCATAGGGTTTCTCAGCTGTATGATTTCTCATATGTACAGTAAGAGATGAACTTTGAGAAAAGGCTTTCCCACATTCACTACATACATAAGGTTTCTCACCTGTATGGCTTCTCATATGTATAATAAATACTGAGCACTGAGAGAAAGCTTTTCCACATTTATTACATTTATAGGGTTTCTCCCCTGTGTGACTTCTCATATGTAGAGTAACAGATGACATTCGAGAAAAAGCTCTACCACATTCATTACATGCATAAGGTTTCTCCCCAGTGTGAATTTTTTCATGCTCAATAAGATTCTGCTTCTGGCTGAAGGATTTCCTACATTCCTTACATTCATAGGGTTTTTCTCCAGTATGAATCCTCTTGTGTTCAATGAGATTTGATTTCTGACTGAAAGCTTTCCAACAATCCTTGCATGCATAAGGTCTCTCCCCAGTATGAATTCTTTGGTGTCTAATGAGATTTGACATCTGAATGAATGCTTTTCCGCATTCATTACACTTAAACGGTTTTTCCCCAGTATGAATTTTCTGATGTGTAATAAGATTTTCTTTCCTGCTGAAGACTTTTCCACATTCTTTACATTTGTACGGTTTTTCTCCAGCATGAATTTTCTCATGTCTAATGAGGTCAAATTTATGAGGGAAGTCTTGTCCACAATGATTACACTTAAAGGGAGTTATGACATAGGATGAACAATTGTAAAATGGTTTCCCAAACTCATTACACTCAAAATTTTTTTCTCTTACACAACCTTTATCATAACTAAGTAAGTCTAAATTTTTTTCCAAACCTGTATTAAGTGAGTCATATTCATAGAGGTTTTGTCTTGAAGTAATGTCTGAGCTCAGAGGATATATTTTTGCAACTTTTTTACATTCAATGACTTTTTCCTTAATCAGAGTTTTCTTGGAGATGGATGTGCCTTTCCTCATAAGTGTTTTCTGTTGCTTCTTGATCTGCTCATCAACTTCCCAAACTTCTAAAATGGAGGACCAAAAATTATTACTTGTGAATTTATCTACTAGTATACTACTAGTAACATTTCAGAAATTTGCTAATGGGGGGTGTAATCTTTGTTTTTGTCCTTAGTCAATCAATATGAAAGAAATCTGAAGTAAAATACTAGTTCCTAAGGTTTGAGATGTTAACTAATATAAACATTATGAAGAGAAAATTGGCATGTACATAGCCAAGTAGCATTGACTGATTTTAAGTATGTCCTATGTAGAACAATAAGAAAATCCATGAAATAAATGTAATTAAAATGAAAGGGATTTTTGTAAATAAATGATTGTATAGGGAATCAAACAACAAAAGAATAAAACTAATACTTGTGGTTAAACTGTGGGTTGAATACATATTTTTATATTTCTCCTCATTTCTAAAATTCCATTGAAAACGAATAAAGGGTCATATCTTTAAAACAAAGGAGACAGACATGTAGACACAGGCAGAAAATACTTTTCAACAAAACAGGGTAAGATGAAAGGCATATAGGGTACTGTTTACAAGAAAGTACACTTAGGAAGCTAACACAAGAATCTCATGAAGATGAAAATACCAGGACAAATAAAGTAGTTTCACCACAAATGCTGGGAAAGCTCAAGACTTAAAGAGGATTCAGAAATCCAAAAGGCAGAGACAGACAAAAACAAAGGGAGACTATTCCTTTTCACTACTGCTTTTCAACACCAAACTGGAAGACCTATCTATTGTAGTAAAATAAGAAAAAGAAAGAAAAGGTATACAGATTAAGAATGAAGAAACAACATTAAAACTCTTTGTTCAGAGATGATATGATCACCCATGCAGAAAATCTGAAAGATTCTTATCTTTATAACTGGATCTTAACCAATACACTACTACCTCTCAATTTACGAAGTGGCCATGCCTCTACAATCCAAGCAAGAAAAAGAAAGTTTAAGTTCTAGAAAAAATGAATTAACGATGATGCAGACTTAAAAACAAATACTGTATAACTCAAAGGTAAACTTTATCTTAACAAAAAAGTAGGGATAATACAAATGTCTGCATATTGAATAGTGAGGCTTCTGATTCCTTTTGTTGTTTAACATAACGAATGTTGGCACATAATTCCATGTAGGGCATGGGAATAAAACAAAAGATCTGTAGATACTGTCACTTGGGGTTCCATACACATCTGATCCAACCACTCTGCAGTGCAGTATGCTATTCCAAAAAAAAAAAAAAAAAAAGGCAAAAGCTTTAGTAGCTACAAATCATTACAATTTTCCTTTATTCCTTCATGTATCAAAATAAACTAATGACACTTATGAGCTCTTTATTTAAATCAAGATTTTGAGAATCCTGCTTAAACAAAAAACATACAGAAAACATTAAAGTAAGGCAAATAATATCTCTAGAAATGACCAAAAGTTACATGAACACATAATAGTTACTTTTTGGCTTGTTAAAAAATAGTATGTCAATAGTCATACCAAAGCAAACATTGAAAATTGAACGGGGCAAAAATTGTGATGCATCGATATTCAGGAAGTGGTGCTTGGTGGTGTTGTAAGAGCACAAAACATAACTGTATCAACTGATGAAAATTAGGAAATTATCAAATAGTAGCACATTCAAAGAAATCTACTTTTCACTTGTCCCTGATTCTTCCTTTACATTATAATCATTTTTATTAGTTTAGGGATTATTCTTCCATTCTTTAAAAACATACTCACATATATATATTTACTTATACATACACAGAGATATGAATTGTATATACCTACACAAATATACATCTCTCCAACACCTCCCTTTCTTTGTGGTACTAAGAATTGAACTCAGGACCCATCTGAATGGGACAACCTTCCCAGCCCTTTCAAAAATTTTTTTTTTTATTTTTAGACCACTTGCTACGTCACTAAATCCCCTAGGCTCAGCTTGAAATTGCAATTCTCCTACTTCGGTCTCCCAGAGTGCTGGTATTACAGATATTTGCTACCAAGCCCTGTTCTCCAACTACTTTTCATACAAAACAGAGCTTATTCTAAACACTTTTTGGCACATTTCTTTCTCACCAGCAATGTACGGTACCCTCATCTATAATTTCACTTTTCAAAGTCTCAGCCTCTTGAAGAACTGGTCAAAAACCAGAAAATTCTAGAAATAAACAATTCATATATTTTATATTGTAGGCTACTTTGGAAAATGTGATGATCTGAATTGCAAGAAGCACCATTCCACTTCATTCTGCCTGGAATATGAAATGTGTTTAGCATATCTATATTATATACACCACCTACCTGTTAGTCACTTTGTAGCCTCTTGCTTATCAGATCAATTGTGGTGGTATTGCATTGCCTGTATCAAATCATAGCCTAAAGCTCATAAATACTGATTCTAGCAATTTTATTACTGTATACTAATATATTTTTGTATGTTATGTAATAACAAGCAACCAGAGCACTCAAATTTTGTTCTCCGAGTATCATTTCCCACTAAAGTAAGCAGAGGAATTTTTAGAGAAATGGCTATTTCCATGTTTGGAGCACAAAATTTACAAGACTACCCAATGCTACAGAGGAGATAATTTGAATTAAAACAACACATGAAAAGTATTTTTATACAAATGTTTATTCTAAGGGCTTGTTTGGAAGTGAGTGCAGCTACTTGTATACCCTTGACTGAGGACACTCTTCTCTCAACTGGGGGTGGCTGTCCTCTTTGACTCAGCACAGCTTTGCTGGGGCTGAGGGGGTTGGGTGGAGGAGGGGTAAGAGGTGTGCATGGAGCAGTGAGGGAGAAAGAGGACCTTCCTAGCCAGCTAGATCAGCGAGATTAATCCTGGCAATCAATGGGGTGACTGATGTCACAACCAGATTGCTCCCACATCCTCAAATCTTTATTCTGATGCTAAAATTACATAAATATAAATTTGTAATTATTTAATTTAACAAACCCTGGAGATTTCTAGGGCACAAATCATTATTTGAAAAGATTTTAAATGGACGGTATCTCCTCTATTTCTTTCCCTGACCTGTAAGAATGGTAATCAGGCAAACAATATTTGATGAGAATGTTTCTTTATGGGATGCCAATAAAAGCAGAAGAAATCTCTAGTAAAATAATGGATCTAGGCAACGATGATCATAACTCCTTAATCCCGGAAATGAAAGGTTAATATGGATCATCAAAACAGACTAAGTCTGACTGATAAAAAAAACAATCTACTGACCGATCTCAGTATTTCTAAAAGTAGTATGAACATAAGATGCAATAATATATCCACAGCACTACCTATAAAGTACTCTTAACAAAGAACTAAATTTGAATCCAATAAAGCACAGCTATATGAAAAATAGTATAAAAGATTATATGTAGTATAGTACCTTAGCACTCATTGTTAATTGGTTTTGAGAGGCTTCATGAGTATCAAAAACAGTAAGTACCAAAAACGATGAATGACAAAATGTTTCAGCTAGAAAGAGTAGTGAGCCATGAGGCAATGGACACTGACAAATTCCAGCTTGTACAGACAGTACCAGATGACAAGTAACACGACAAAAGTTTCACATCAAAATGCATCAAGTACAAAATTCAATGAGTTTCAAAGCACCTGAGTATAATCCATGAAGAGGCAAACTGCCAATTTTAGAATAAAAAAGTATTCTAGAGCAGGGATTGGCAAATCATAGCCATCTCTTGTTTTTATATAACCTGTGAACAATGAGACTGATTTTTTGCATTTTTAAGTGTTGCTCAAGGAAAAGGGAGAACAGTGAAAAAGAAAAATATGTAACAGGAGACTGTATGTGGCCCACAAACTCTATAAGGAGTACTTTCTGAATGATACACCTTACAAGATCACAGTGAATGCCTGAAATTACAAATAATACCAACCTCTATTACACTGTTTTTTCTTATATATACCTAAGATAAAGTTGTAAATCACAATAAGAGATAAGCAATAACTAAAAATATAGAATAATCCTAACAATATACTGCAATAAAACATATGATCGTAGTCTCTTTCAAAATATCTAACTGTAGCCAGAAGCAGTGCTGCATTCCTGTAATATGCCTGTTTCATAGGAGGCTAAGGCAGAGAAATCACAAGTTTGAAGCTAGATTGGGCAACTTAGCAAGACCCGTTCTCAAAAATAAAAAAGGGCCTGGGATGTAGCTCAGAGGTAGAGTGCTCGCCTAGCAAGTGTGAGGCCCTGGCTCAATCTCCAGTATCACAAACAAAGCAAAACAAAATAAAATAAGAAGCCCCAAACTTATTGTACTGTCAACTTTTCACTTAAAGTTTGACTTTTCTTTGGCATATCCAATTTACCAGCATCATAACTCTAACGCTTTAGCACCATTATTATGGAAAATAATGGCTATGTACTTGAACACAAGCAATGACAACCAAGAAAACTTAAGTGACTAACAGACAGATAGCATATACAGCATGGATACACTGGAAAAAGGAATGATTTACATACAAGAAAAGACAATGCAAGATGTCACCACAATGTTCAGAATGGTGCATAATTCAAATCTTAATTTTTTGGGGGGGTACCAGTGATCAAACTTAGGACCTCGCAGTTGCAAGGCAGGTGGTGGAACTAATGAACTAAATCCCTGGCCCTTATATATCTTATATATAAATTATTTTTGGAGTTTTCCATTTAATATTTTCAGACTATAGCTGAATACAGGTAACAAACTACAGAAAATAAAATTGCAGCTTGGGGAAAATTACTATATACCATTTGGTTCTTTAAAACTGCTGATGCTTGAAAAAAAAGTATAACCTAATCTCTGCACAAATAAAAGGGTGAGGAGAAATGAGTTGAGAAGGGAGGAGATTCTTGTCAATTAAAACAAATGTAAGCTATGTAACCACCAAATGCATTTTGTGAACCTTAGACCAATTACAAAAAGACATTTTGGGGACAATGAAAGAAATGTACAGAGACAGTATCAGATGACAGTAAGAAATTATTAACATCACTAGGCGTGACACAAAGCTTTGGTGTGATAACTGATTCTTCAAAAAACTCATCTGGCTGGGCATGATGATACACAGCTATAAATCTAACACCCTGGGAGGTTGAAGCAGGAGGGCTGTAAGTTCGAGTTCAGCTTAGGTAACTTAGTGAGATCCTTGAAAATAAAATTTAAAAGGACTTGGGAGATGTTGCTAAGTATGAAGGACCTGGGTTCAAAACCTCAGTATCACCAAAAACCAAACAAACAAAACCCTTATCTATTGGCGTGGCATATGGCAGTATTTAAAGGTATACTGCAATGTGAAACAGTTCAGAAAAAACAAAAGTAGGGGAGAATACACAATCTGGCAAAATGCTGGTAACTCTGATAACTGTTTAAGCTGAGTGACAAATACAGGAGGGTTCCTTATACTATTTTCTGTGTTTCTGTTTGAAAATGATTATGATACAACTTTTACATAGCAATATAAGCACATTTATTTGCAAATATGGAGGAATATAACAAACGAAATTCTTAAATAAGTTGAAAATAATTGCCTAGAGGAAGTGAAATGTGAGAACACTGCACTGTTTTAAGCTTTGCATTTCTACTGGCTTTCTAAAACAAGTACATACATGTATTTTGAGAAAAATTCAAAATGCATATTAAAAAAAAAGAAAAAAATGATGTAAGAGAAATGGCTGATAGGTGCAAGTAGCATACATCTATAATCTGAGCTACGTGGGGAGGAAATTCAAGGCCATCCTGGGCAAGATACTGTTTCAAATAAAACATAGAAAGGGCTGGGAATAAAGGTTAGAGCAAAAGCAGACACTGGGATCACTTCCCAGTAGTGAAGGACAGGGAAGGAAAGAAGGAGGGAGGGAGAGAAAAAGAAAGGGGAAGACAGAAAGAGAGAGGGGGAGGGGAAAGAAAAGGAGAGCCAGGAAGAGGGGAAAGAGGAGGAGAAAGGGAGGAAGAAAAGGGAACAGGAAGGGGGGAAAAGAGAGTCCAAGAAACTTTTAGCTAACATCTCCGTTAGTTTAACAGAAACAAAACCCCACTTCTCATTACTTTTGCCTAGATTAATACCCTGACAAGTGTATCTTTTGTCTATTCTGCATACCAACAGCAAAAAAGTTTTCATAGAACTATTCTTGAGAGATGTCTAGTGAGAGCTGAGTCACGTGAAAGACATTTCCTAAAGGAGGAAAATAATAAAAAATAACTAAAGGAAAATTAGAATCCTAGGGAGAGGAGCAAAGAAGGAAGACATTTCCAAGAGTGATTCACAGTATCAAACAGAGAACTTCCTACTTCAATATGACAGAATTAAACATCTAACTCCTCTCCACTCTGCAAACATAAGCAGAAAATACATCTTCTACAAAACTTGGGCTTCTAAATTCCAACTCCAGGATGCAAGAAAGAACAGAGAATGATTGGGCTAGGTAGGAAAAAAACTCAATGGATAGTGGCTGCAGTTCCTTGTTTTGGACAGTAAGTGTAGGAAATAGTTCTCCAAAAAAGAGGTGCACCCAAAACCCCTTGCAATAATAGGATCCAGATATGCTGACTCTGGTCACAGCAACATACAACAATGGATTTCACCTGACCCTGACAAATGGTATGGGAGACAGAGCTGAACAAGAGACACAAACAAACATTACTGTTGTACGAACAGACTAATGGAACAGGAGGATGGAAGAAACACTGAATGCTAAAAGGAAGCATACTAATGACAATCTCTTTGACTCAGGAGAAAGGACAAACCTCAACATAAACCCTCGTATGCTAAGGATATCACTGTCAGGTACAGAAGCTTTTTACTACCTGTTATGGCTTGTATGTAGATGTCCCTCCAAAGCCTCATGCAGCCTTTTTCAGAAGTGACTGAATCTGGATTGTGTGATGCTGGGATTAAGGGCGCGTGATCACTAAACCACTACATGTGAGTGACTGGTTTGGCACTGTCCTAATCCTGGTAGTCTGCATGGGATAAAAGGGGCAGAAAGACGCTATTAAGGTCCCTTTTTGCTTTTGTTACCTTCTGGCTGCCATGAACTGTTTCTCCTCTCCAAGTCCTATCTTCAGCACCACTCTGCTTTGGAGCCAGCTGATTATGGACTGAAACCTCTACAGACTGTAAGCCAAATAAACCCTTTCCCATCTAGCTTTGGGTGTCCGTATTCTGTGTCAGCAATGAGAGAAGTAACCAACACACTACTTAAGAACACTTTTTTTCTTCAGTCCAAGCTTCAATACTGTAAGTTGCTAGTCCAGGAGGAAATGCCCCCATTTAAAGTGAACAATGACAATTATAGAAATAGCCAGTATCAATCTATATAATGATGCTATAAGGAACAATAAAACAAGAATCCACAAATTAAATAATTGATCTCAATTAATCAATACTAAAACATGGTCTCACAAAATTCTAAAACAGCCAACAAACAAATAAAAAACAAAACCCTATGGACATGCAGGCAAATAAATCAAATGATCTAGTAAAGAAAATAATCAGGCTTCTTCTCCAAGCAATATTCAAAGCTGCTAACAACAGATAATTGTCTACATCAAAATTAAGTTCTGAGGTAAAGTATTCAGGTCCAAAGCTCTCAGTCTACATTAAGCCTCTGGGATAAAAGTATGGTTCAAGAATTTTAAGACACAGCCACCTATAAATCAAACGTAAATATTAAAGAAAAGATATTTTTCATATATAAAACCTTAAGGACTCTATTTTCCACTAAATTACAAGCTCTAAGGGCAGGACTTTTTTTCATACAGTTATATGCCCATGTCCACAACAGTACTTTATTCTTGAAACAACTACTATAAATGCTTCCTTTCTTTTATATCTCATTTTTGATATATATCTAAGCCATTAATTTTCATTTGTTAATTTTCTACCACCTTACTGTATTCTTTTAGCATTTATAGCACCTTGTTAGTTGGTATTCTTGTATTTTTCAGGGACACAAATCCATCATGTAGAAATAAAGATGGTTTTACAGTTTCCATTTCAATTCTTACAGAACTTTTTTTCTCTTCTCTAATATGTAAGTAAACTTAATGAAATATAACCAAAAGCTATAAAGAAAAAAATTTTAAAGCTCTATTTCTGAAAGGCACAAGATAGATATAAACACACTACATCTTCTTGAATAAAAAACCTTCACATTCTAAAGATAATACAGATGGCAAAATGCTGAATGTTAATTCATACATCTAGCATAAATAATCCCACAGGCTTTTCTCTGTAAATACATACAAAGATAAGTCCAAAATTCATATGCTAAAAAGAACAATAACTAGGAATAGCTAAAGCTCTGAAAAAATAAGTATACATAACTGAAAAAAGGGTCTAAGTGTTAAGAATAAGAGGAAGACTTACTTTTCAACACACCTTTTGGATTACTTATATTTTTAAACAAGTATTCAAAATGTATATGATAAAAAAATTAAAGGAAGGGAAGGTGGGCATAAGGAAGGAGACATATGGGATTTCTAAGCTAGAAACTTAGTTTTCTGAGCCATGAGATTATGATGATTACGAAATACAATGGTAAATATGATTGCCATTACAAAATACAAATCTGTCAGGAGTGATGGCACACACCTATGATCCCAGCACTCAGGAGGCTGAGGCAGGAAGATCAACACAAGTTCAAGGCCAGCCTGAACTATAGCGAGACCCCGTCTCAAAAACAAACGAAAACCCCTCACAAATCTGAAGTTTTTCAAAATACAAATAAGGAAAAAAGGTAAAAGGAATCTAAGTGTGAAACAAATATATCTTTTTTTTTTTTTTTTTTGT